GAATGTTTCCTACTTCCCTCCGGGATATTTCTGCGCCCAACGTGTTTTTTCTTATAGCGTCAAGGATGAGAGACTAAGCTAGTTTTCTGCCCCTTAGCTTGTTAACGCCATGCCCTCGTGACCGGTCCGTTTCAATTACGCGAAGATGTAATATGATGCCGTCAAGTTTATGTGCCTTCCAATACGGAACAAAATTGATGATCTGTGACGTCATATGATGACGTCTTCAAGTAATGAGTATTTCTTGCATCACGCGTGTTGACGCCGCCGACGCGAGAAGACGCCGGACGCCACCGGCGATCAGTTTTCGCTTGTGATGAGGCATTTAAGGATATATCGCCTTAACGCACCCGTACGGCTGCAGTTCCGTGAAATTGCAGCTGCCCCTGGTGTTCGAAGGAGGGCGTTTGAACTAATCAGACAGGACAATTGGTCTCCTACTGCACTCGATATCGGGCGTCATTACTATACCTGAGTATTTCATAGAATATAATAAGTGGTGGCTGAAACATTACCCCTCACGTTTAGCGGCGTAGCAATAGCTGTCACTAAACGGGAGTGCACCGCATCTGAACAGTCAACGAATGAGTATCAGTAGCAACGCTGCCTCGCGATCACTGCTGTGTGCAACGCTTACATTACGCCCCGAAGCTGAATAGGAGACCATGGGCACCACATGCGTTATCGACGAAACAAGCGACAATTATCATGTACTGTGTCGTAATGAATGCGTGCTTTTACGACTGAACAGCTAGGGTGCCTCATGCAATTAAAGCGTCCGGGTCGACAGCCATTTGGCCGCTGCTCGCTACCAAATTAAGAGGTCAGAGGGAAGAGAAAGAAAGCGAGCAGAGCAGCCGGATATTGAGGCTACAACAATCCGTCCACGAATACACATACAGGCTGAAGCAACTGACCGCACGATGCATTTTTCACGCCTGTCACTTTGGCTCAAGTTGAGAGTCGGCATTAGACTTACAGGCGGCGATCGCAGAAATCGTGATGCATAAGGCACATACGGTACTGTTCTTGTTTGTTTCCCGATGATTTCATTGTTGAAGCTCTTAAATAGTGAAAGCACGTGGCATCGTTCCTCAATTTCTCACACTTGCTTTATCTCAGTGACAACACATGTAATCATCAAAAGCAGTGCGAAGAACACGGATGATCACCTGTATCCCCGGAAGCTGTCTAGTGGCATTTTGCGCGCAATCTGCTACGCCTGGAAGATTAGGCAGCATCAAGGAACATTAGGCACTTAAACCTTCAGTATTAGCTTAACGCGAATGCTTCTCTTAAACATAGACTTTCAGTTAATGAACAAAGCAACCCTCAGTCAAGCGAACATCACGGTGACAAAACGGTCTTCCGCGGATTACTGACATAGGCTATCTGGTATAGGCCTAGCAGACGATGCGGGAGCGCCTCAATCAAGTAGTCGCGATCGACACATGCCCTTGAAATGAGCTACACGTCCAGAGAAAGTGCTTCACGATTCTCGTTTACAAGTTTTCATTATACCCTAAACAACCCGAATATAATCTAAAATCAAGCAGCTTTGAATGCAGCCACGCATTCGTATGTGCGGTAGACGACGCGGTGACATGGATGGATGGATGGATATATGGCTGTACCCTTTAGATCGGCCGGTGGCAAGCGCCACCAAGCCGTAATACCTTATGAACCAAAAACTAGATTTTTTCCCCTTAAATACCGAAGCTGAAGATTCGTACTTTGCAGTGAAGGGTTTAATTTTCACTCGTGCCTTGACATGCCTACTCCAGATGCGGCGCCTGGCGGCGAAACGCCGCACTAGCACCTACAGCCGCTTCCCATTGAAACTCGCTCCTTCACCCGAGCACTCAAAAATAGAGCAGGTGCTGCTCTGTGGTACATTAGTAACATTACTCGACTGCCATGCACTGGACCTTTGTTCGAATGTCACTCTGTTGTGAATGCACTTCTCACCGTGCACAACAGCGGTTACGAATTCCGGCTTCAGACAACTATATACGCCACCAAAATTGGTTGTGATGTCGTAGGAGCTTTCGCTGCCCAACAACGCGCGGCTACGCTGCGAAGGTGTGTTTGCCAGGCAGGCAAGATGGCGGCTACACTATCGACTATTTGATAGCACGTACAACGACCATAGGTTGTCGACAGGTATCACAGCAAAGCGCATTCAGCACAAAAGGTATGTTCTGATAGAAAGCCGCGAGTTCAGTATAGAAGCACCTCCCGATCACCTCCTCGATAGGCCAAAAATATTCACTTATTTATGCAATGCATTCTCTAAGAAGTTATACTTCGAGTGTCGGGACGGTGGTTAATTGCTCGAGCAAATAGTGTACGCATTTTCCAGAGTAACATTCGCTTCGACGCCGCAAAGTTGAAGAAAAAAACGGAAATGACGAACACGCATGCTTTAGGACTTAGTTCACGCCTTTGTCAAGAAGGAATTGTGAAACATTTTTATTTCATGAAAGGTAACACGGGAAGGCACTGCTGTAAGTTGTCCTTGTCCGGCAATCTGCAAGGAAATGGGGAAAGGGGTCAAATAGCAGCAAAGTATTCATACCCAAGACATATGATGGAATACATGCACGCACACAAAATCAGTTAGCTCAACAGGGAAAAAAAGGTTTAGAAAATTTTTATTTGGTATCAGCTACGCGGATCCGCCCCGCAATATATTAACACGTGGTGAACCTGAGAGCTGGGCAGCATACCTTCACATGCTGGTTCATTCATATACCTGCACATACCTTACAGATAGCGTAAAAGCTACGAGACTCCACTTGTTCGCGAGGTTCCTGAGAAGACACGTAGTGCTACAGCAATTTTCTACGGGTGAGCCGCTTTATCTGAATCATTATTATGTCGTAAAGGGATTTCCAGGCACGTGTAGATGAACAAGTGTTAGACACATAAAATTTAAAGAAAAGTAACGCCACAATCGATGTTCGTTCAACTATTTATCCAGAGGTAGCAAGTTGTTTCCGCAATTGATTAAGTTTCTGAATGAAGCAATGGTACGTGTGGTAATAATGGGTAAATAAATAGGCGAAAGCCTTAGATTCCTTATCAAACGCAGAAACGGTCGGCATTTCGCGGCGTCGGCACGAGTGAGGAAAAAAAATTATGTGGCGACGTCAACATATGACGTTACCATGACGTGACAGAGTGCCAGAATTTGTACGTGATAATGCCGTCAAATAATATCACTGCTTTGGCAAAGTGGTCATATCTCGAAGGCAGAGCATGGCCAAGTTCGACTCAATGTCTTCGATCCTGGAAGCAGTGCAAAAATACAGTAAGTGCTCAAAGCGTTCGGAGGTGGGGGAGGGAGATGAACGCTTCAACTGAGAAGTGAAAGAAAAAAACACCATGTATCGCTAAAGGGCACCACGTGTATAGATGCGAAGCAGCGGGCGTTGACGCTTACACTGCGCGTTACACTGCAGCGCTCATCACGGCGTTGCGCAGAGAGAATACTGGGGAGGCGCTAAGCACGCAGTGATGGATCGATGTTTCCTACTGGAACGTGCCAATCGCTGCTAACGGGTAATGAGAGACGAAAGACTTCGATTGGACACAGATACCCGCAGTCCGCTTTCAGTTAACGCGCACGCTGCGAGTTTTATTGTTAAAAAACGCCCCGCCGCGGTGGTCTAGTGGCTAAGGTACTCGGCTGCTGACCCGCAGGTCGCGGGTTCGATTCCCGGCTGCGGCGGCTCCATTTCCGATGGAGGCGGAAATGTTGTAGGCCCGTGTGCTCAGATTTGGGCGCACGTTAAAGAACCCCAGGTGGTCAAAATTTCCGGAGCCCTCCACTACGCGTCTCTCATAATCATATAGTGGTTTTGGGACGTTAAACCCCACAAATCAATCAATCATTGTTAAAAAACACACAGCAGAAATCTCCCCCGGCAGTAACTTCGGAAGTCAAGATCCAGTGCTTATATAGCGACGAAAACCTCAAGTTTGCGGATCGACGGCAAAACTGCACTGCGGTTCTGGCGCCAAGCTCCCGGGAAATCGGGCCGAGGCCGCAGGCGATCCAGTGTTTCACCACAGCGGAAGCACGTGCGGCACTCGCCGTACGCGTTCTGGAATCGGTGCGAGCCTGGCGCGCTGAAACGAGATACATGCTGTTCGAAGTTACCTTCCTGCGATGGCAGAAGCGACCCCACAGAAGCGTCGGCGAGCTCTAAAGTATTGTGTGCCACAACAGTGCAGTGCACGCGATCAAACAGAAAAACTGTCTGTTGCCGGACAAGTCGTACAAGAAAGAAAAAAAAGCGTGCATCACCGCCGGGGAAAAAAAAATGATGAGTTAAATCTGTCTCGCCGTACGTTTTGATTATCTCAATTCATCGCTTGAAATTAATCATTTCAACTACCTAAACCAATACGTAACGCGCCGCGCCTATGAAATGACTGCAGTAATCATTGCCTGCTTCGGCATTGCGCGGCGAGAGAAAGGTAGAGTAGGAGAGGAGAATAGGGGAGGCGACGCGCATGCGTAGTGGCGTGGAGACGCCATCGCATCAAGTTGGTTAATAAGATGCTTCGCATCTAATAATGATCTTCGCCTTCATCTTGTCTTCGGCGAATGCGTACGTGACCCTGCGATTTTTTTTTTTTTTTGCTACAGTACTAGCCCGATGCGCTGTGAAACGCTCAAATGCCGTGAAAAAACTCGTCACCGTGCCTGTTGTAGCTTCGGTTGGTCCTAAATGCGTCCCCTGAACAAGATGAACTTCAACACAGCAAAGGCGCCTGCGAGCAGTGTGCCGCCGACGAGCGGCTGGACGACACCCTCGACCACGTTCTGCGCGTCCGGCTCGTCCAGAGGCACCACCACTCCGAGCCGTCGCAGGAGCTCTTTGGCCCACTTTTGGCAGTTGTTCCTCGTCAGGTGGTACTGGCCCGAGTCGCACATCTCGAGCATGGCCTCCTCGACGCGTGCCTTCGGAATAGTGTGCTTTCCCAGGCGTTTCTACGAAAAAAAAGTCGAGAGTGCGGATATAGCGAACGCGAAATAAAGCGAAAACGAAGGACAATAGGTGAAAGCTGAAACGCTAGCGGCAATACCTTGTGTCAGCTCATTCATTCCAGAACAATAAAAAGTTGGACCGGTGTCGTACTTGTAACGCGAGACGGCGAATGTCTGGCGTCCGAACTGATTTCAAAATAGTGGGCTGCAACGATCAATCATACTATATGTTTGGCATCACATGTGTTTTACGTCGTCTCTTGTGCACACTTTGCTTATGTGCAACGGTATACCTACATCAGAACGATCGATGAGGAGAGTTGGTGTGCTTCATATATCGAACGTATAATAGCGCGACAAAAACGTCTTTCCTCCGTGCTCGTAACATGTTAACGCACTATCATTTGTTCAATATGGTATAATAGCAAACCAACTGACCTAACTAACAACCTCGATGAACTACATTAAATAGGCCACCTAAAGTCCTCAAGTAAGAACTCTTGTCTGTATGTAATAAACTTTTCATGTCTCTTTAAATGCGTCTAACATCCCCGACTCGGGTTACCGCACTTTTGTATGCAATATGTAACCTGTTAACGTGACTCGTTGCCCCACAGGGATATAGGAACTGTTCAAGGCACAAAGACCAAAGTGCGTTTGTGTGTGCTTGTTTCAGAAGCTTGATTATTTGACACTTAACATTTCAGATCATGGAATAGTAGAATGGTTGCAAGAGTTCAGTGCAACGTGAAGTTCTGCCAGACAGAATTGTATGTTGTAGGCTTCGCTTTCTATGGGCGACTGCTCTATTCTTTTCCATCGTCCTAATGGGTGGCACTCAGAATTCTCTCAACAAGCTTCTTCGCCACATACCGCATCTTTAGATTATGTTCTAATGTGAAAGAAAATTGATATGTTCTCCAAATGCACACTAAAGAAGTCAGCTTGTTCATCTTTGGTTGATGCAGCACTACGGGGCGATGACGATAAATACGAATCACTAGAACAGGCGCATCAGCCAAAGGTGAACGCTCTCCAACTATAGCTCAAGTTCCCATTCATACAAAGTTGGCTTGGTCTTCCAATCTGCTCTCTCTACACGAGTATTTCCCCAAAGGTAAAAAGTGTGGTTGTCGGCCTCGGGGGCTTTCAGTTTGCACGTATGCTTCTTTAGGTAGCCGGGATGCCTGATGGAATGTGCACACGCGCGTGTGCCTTCATGGAACGCAGAGTTGCTTTCACGGAACGTAAACTAGTCGCCAGATACGTTTTGCGTTTGCCACCATAGCTCACGAATCCATCTACGCTCGTGGCTACTCGTGGTGTGCGCTGTTCCCAGACTCCAGCCACCGAGTCCAAATAAGTCAAAGTGCCAGCACCAATTACGACCACGCGTTGTTTGATCTGGATTACCAAAGCTCTGAAGACCGACAATACCGAAGCCGTAAGCGCATTGGTCCTAAAACAGAGTTTCCTATAATTAGCTTTAGAGGGAACTCTGACTTCGCAGTCGTTCAGCGACCATGGGAATGATGGGTAGTACACGAATTCCTATAGTCTTCGTGCTTGCTGGCTTCAAAGTCTCTGGTGGCTTTGTTTATTGTTGTGGAATTTCTTATTTCATATAAAACAATGGACAGACATGAACTTAGTGACCACGCTTGAATTGGTGAGCGAAAATCTTATGGTGGTGAAGTGAAGCTGCTAAATATTTGCCGATTGTCGCGTCTGGAAAAAGCAGCTCTAAGCTACACGAAGTCAAACAAAGCCAAAAATATTAAGATTAGACAAATTTGTGTACTACCCTTCATTCTAATGCACCATGCGTTAACTGCAGCTCTCTTAGACATCGCCAGAGTTCTCTCTAATGTAGTCGCAGGGAATTCTGAGGGCTAAAGCTTTCCAGAGGGCGGACAGGTGGTGGCCTCTTGCGGGGCCGAGTTGTACCAGGCAAGCACAGTATTGCTCTTTAATGTGGTGCATTTTACTTCTGGTGTGAATGCCTTGCAGTGGCGTAATAACAAATTGGTTGAATTTTTATTCCGTTGTTCCCTCAAAATCTCTGAAATATAATGTGCCTGCGATTGTGGTTGAGTGCACTCACCAAAAATGACATGAGAATCACACATGTGCAGCCAGACACCACCTGAGTCCTCCATAGTGAATGTGTCTTTTTTTTTTCGTTCAACCCATACTTTCAAGCATTTCGAACATACTGGGCCAAGAAGAGGCCTTATTAGAGTAAAGTATATGTTTACGTACGCATGGAAACGTTTCACCAAGAAAAAAGTTTATACTCTTCGAAACGTAAGCGCTGACGTATGGAAAGGTAAACACTTTTCTAATACGTTCCTTTCGGTAACACGGTAAAAATGTATAATCCGGTAACATGCATTAACAAACTATACTTACAAGCTAATAACTCTAATGCTCATATTGCAGATTTTTGCAGACGTGAAGCTCCAGATTCCGAACGATAAAGAGTCGATGCTTGATGCCAACTTGTGCACGCTCACCCATCGAGCTTATCCGCACTTCCGTTCTCCCAATAAATTTTACATGTTTGAAACTGGTTGGATCGTCTGTTGTCCGAGAGTCGCCGAGAAACTTGGACGCTTTGTTTTGCTTTTTTGCATCCACATTTTGAAATTCATCATTCCACGACGGCACACGTTGTTTTCGATCTAAACTATTGGCTTTAGGTAGACTTTTAAAAGCGCCAACTATCAGCAAAGCAGTAAGGTAATAAATGCTCAGACCCCAAGAGATACCAGTAGAGTTTCGGAAATGCTCTCGATCGGCTATACCTTCACTTGGGTTGGCAATTCGGTTTCTCGTGGTGTGATTTGCAAGCAATACTGGCGACGTTTCAGCGGATAAGCGTCACGTTCTGCTGTAGTCGCTACGCTACTTTTCTCTCCGAATAAAGCGTCCCTCTGAGAAACGGCAAAGGAAAATTCCGTTTTATAAATTCAAACAGATGTTCCACTGTTAGCAAACCGTGTCACTGCGACCACGCCGCATAACTTCCCGATCTGCTGAGCAAAAAGACGGCCAGTCGGCAGGGTTTCTCTGCGCAGGATGGTCATCGCGAAATCGAAATTGCCACGAATCCGAATACACTGACCCCCTCCCCCGTAGTGTCCCCGTCTGTAAACTGTGCTTAAAAAGTAACAGCACTCGTTTCACAATGAAATACTGCTCCTGTCAGATAGTCCACACGGTTCTCTGCAAGTTTTGATATGACTGCGTGGTCCATTAGCTCCGTGCACGTCTATTTACCGCATAATGTGCGCACACACTTCGACTGAAATTTGGAATGCACATGCGTGAATACGGTGCTTTGTGCCGCTTTGACACTCCTGTCCTTGACAATATACAACATTAACTTCGCAATAAAAAGTGCAACAGAGCACTAAGTCAGGCACAGTTGAATAGGCGGACGTGGAAATCGCTAGAGTAACGCGCACCGCATGCAATTGGAAGACCAAAAACGAACTTCCTTTGTGAACGTGCAGCGTAACATTAGCAGCGAAAAAGGGACTGACAGCTGCACGGCGCAGTCGCGGGTTGTATTTCCAGCCATGGCATCCAAACTAGAATGGCTGATGTTACGAGAAGAGTCGAAAGAGAGTGCGACCACCACGTGCGATGATAGTCCAAGCTAGCCGCAAGCCTCATCTACGATGCCTCCCCCTCATCTGGGAACTCCGGACGAGGGGCGTATAATGTTACGTCTGGCTTTTTCGACCACGGGGATTCCCCGGCCGCCTCTCAACGCTTATCATTCAAGCTCCTTGTAGCGTGCCCCACCGTTTCCCGAACAAGACAAGAATACAGGTGCATATTAAAAAAAACTTTCAATTCTTTGGGCTTTGAAGCGAGAAACCCTATGGCAACAACACGCCTTCCCGCACCAAATTTTGTAGGAACACAGAACGCACGCTGAATAAACCTAAACCTTTCAAGTGCTACCGCAACTCTTAAACACTGCCTTTTTCGCTCCATAACTCGGATGCTAACGTATGTCGTTGCACGGATGACAACAACCACATTTGTAACGTTCGTCAGTTGCCCTTAAAAATACTTTGCAGTAGCATTAAGTAGGAAAAATAGCGCTTGAAACGGACGAGGACAAGTGAAGACAACACAGAGCCTGTGTTGTGCCTTCACATGTACGTTTTAAGTTGTGTCGTCTTGGCGATGAGACAAGAATGTGCAAATATCCTGCTTCTACGTTTTAGCATTCACATTTGTAGGGTACATTCGAGGTTCTGTGTACATTGGTTGTCAGTAACGTTTTTCACTTTCAAGTGCAACGAACTTGATTCACGCCACTGCTCAATTTCGGTATTTGCCTCGTTGGCCGACGAGACACAAACAGCAGTGAGATAAGAAGTGATAAAAAGAAGAGTTTTATATAGAGTATGCAAAGCTTTGCATTTGCGTCGTCAGCTTGCCTCTTGCTGGCTCGCGTCACGTAACACCTGAAAGCTTTGCGCACGGTGTTCTAAAGCTCTCTGATATTCAGTATTCTGAAGCTCTCTGATATTATGGTCTTGCGATGCTCACCTTGTACGAGTACGACCCATTGAAGACCGCCGTCCGCTTCTTCCAATACTTGCGCCCCGTCAGTGCCCCCGAGTGGTCCATGTCCGCATCGCAGACGAGCACCACGTCTTCGCCGTAGTCGAAGACCACCAGCCAGTGCTTCTCCCACGAATCGCCGCATACCCGCTGCGATGCTGAAGCGAACGACGACAGCAGGCTCACGCCAGCGGAATTCGCGTTTTGAATCGGTGCATGGCACAAGTAGACAACGCACTGCTGCGACTGCCTCGAAGTGCTCGACGTGACATTTTCGCCCAGTGACTCGGGTTTCGCCATGTTTTCCGAAATACGGTGAGCTCTCCTCAGCTGTCCGCTACGGCCGGATAACCAAACGAGTACGAGCTACGGGAACTGCCCCAACGCAGGTTCACACGCGGATTGCGTGTCCGCACCAGGACGTTCTGTACTCCTGACCTGCCCAGCTGGCGGCGGTCTACGGAGCTGCCTGCGCCGGCTCGGATTCCTAACTTTGCCGCGTAGGGGCGCTCGAGTTGCCGCAGCAGAGCGCCGGTGGATGCATAGAAATGCATGGGTTGCCGCCGGTTTCAGAAGAGTTTCATCAAGGTTTGAGTAAATGTGACGGGTATCTTGAATCATTTTATTTTATGTGACTGTGAGAATCTTCTTTTGCATTTTACACGACATTTCAGAGCAATGTTTTTCAAATGGAACCGCAAATAAGATACAAAAACATGTATCATCGTGCAAAACAAGAAAGAACGATGACAGAGACAGGTTGTAAAAAGTGCTGGCCCACCAAATGTTTATTTAACTCTTGATACCGGCTGTACGTGTATACATTGGTAGACTTGTTGTCGCACACTCAGCTGGATTGAATTTACTGTCTGTGCAAGAAAGTGCAAGGACTATGACATTTGACAGTGGCCGCGGCTTCCAGCGCGCATAGAAAACAACCCAATACAAACAATTTTGCGCATAAATACCTCCGCCTCAAATGGCAAATGTAGATGGCAGGTACATGAATAATATAAAAAACACTCTGCAACTCTTTTGAAATGAAACAGCAAACAACAACAGCAAACAACTTTACCTGCAAGACTGCAGCGTTTGCTCTTTTGGAGAGCAGATTAACCTATGCAACTTCACGGTTCAGCTTGGCTATTTGCGCTTTTATATCAGCATTATTCCTTGCCAAGGTTCGGCATTTACCGTGCGATGATTTTGCGGAAGTCATCACACGGCGCACTTTCTGGCTGGTTATTGTTGTTTGCGTGGTCAATGAGCATCGGTCGATCTTTCTTTTACTTTGTCGCCAGGTGCAGTTTCAGGTGCGTTCAAATTCGGTGAGAGGGTGCATAAAGTCTGAGGATGGTCCCGAAGTTGTGTTTGCGGATAGTACTGATGACATATGTCTCTCGATATCAAGCTCTGCTGGGCGCCGGGACTGAACCTGTTTTCTTCCTGCATTGAAAATTGTGTTCTGTTATACGCATTTTCTTGAAATTCGTTTTCATTGGTCCCTTTCGTATGCTAGAGCCGTGGGGAGACGTCAAGCATTAAACACTGTTAGTCACTTTTTTTCTTTGGGCAGGGTCCATGTTTCTGAACATTTGAACGTTTCTAGGTGCGGTGGACTTTTGCCACGGGCGGCACCATGTACTTTGGATAGTGTGGAAACACTGACGGCACAGCATTCGCTTTCCGTCTTTTTATATTTAGTCCCGGCTTATAGTCGGTTGGAGCAAAGTGCACACTGCACACATCCATCGACCTGTCATTTGGAAGCCAAACTTCATTTCCAGCACTTTGAAAGGAAAAAGATGAACATTCAGTGAATTATTGTGGATAAAATACAAAATTTCTTGTTCTTTTCTAAAGAGTATATCATGCAATTAGAAGTTCATACCATGGTGGCGAAGTGAATAAAACACAGTTATGAAGTGAGCGTATGACTTCACCTCGTTAACCATGTGACACACGTAACTGGCTGAGATACATTAGCACTAAATAAAACGGATGACCACAAGAAAGAAGACAAGGACACATGCTACTCACAACTTTTAATTAGGAGAAAAGTTTTCACGTATATGTCCTTTTGTCATGCATGCGCGTACACTGGTAAACTAACACGTTTATATTACACGCGGTTGCACATAAATTGAAGTTCGAGGTCAAACTAATTAAGCGACAAAGGATAAATATTCACTTATGCAACGATCTTTGCTCTTTTTGGTAATGTAATTAAACTACCAAAGCAATCTCGAAGAAGCTGCTTCTCCCCACAATGGGTGTGTTTGAAAACCTAGTTGCATAACCACATGTAGTGACATGGCTTCCATTTGTGCACTCTTGTCATCTTTTCTTTTTTTTTTGCTATTAAAAAGTTGTGAGTATAGCGCGTCGTCATTTACTTTCTTGAGGTTGTAAATTTCCTTTAAAAGATTAGTGACTACACCTTCCACGCCTAGTGTGTCCAGTATTCCGCACAGTCCTCTTGAACCGCGCTATCGTATGCTCCCTTGATATCAAAAAATGCTAGCCACAGGAGCCTGTGTTCCTTTTCTGCTATTTTGATGCAGTCTTTCCTTTATAATCTGCGTCTCCAGCCTGTAAACCACTGATGTCACTGTTATAGAACGGTAGTTGTTTGACAGCTTCGTCCCCCTTTCCTTTATTGATCATGCTCATCCTGCTAAGTTTCCATCCATCGGGGACTTCACCATCGATTATCATTTTGCTCACTGCCTCTCCCAAAGTCTGCTTAGACTTTGGACCCAATGTCTTTACCAGCATATATTACAATGCCATCTGGGCTTGTTGATATACTACTAGAAACCCTCTTCTCAGCCCTTTCCCACTCTCGTTGTGAAAATGGAGCCATTGGGCCAATTGATTCATCATTGTCTATTGTGGTGCATAAGGCACTTCTTCGCCCAAATTTTTCTGTCACCCGTGTTCTTATGTATTCAACAACTTCGTCCCCATTCCAGCCCAGCACTTTGAGCTGTAGTTATAAACCTCTGCTCTAGGCTCGTTTCATTTCTTAGGGAGTTTAGATGGTTATAAAGTTTTGTAGCTCCCTTTCTATCCTTTTAATGTACTTCTGCCAGCCACTGAGCACCCTTTCCTCTAATCTTTTCATTTATCAGAAGGGAAGGTTCCCGTTTACAGCTTAGAAAGATGTCCCCTTTTGTTTCAATATCATCTGTAAGTTCACCCCGCTGCTTAGCATGTCTGTGTCCCCTAGAAGCTTCCTGACGTTTTGCTATGGTTCTCCTAACTTCCTCATCCCACCAACTCTTGGTTCTGTGTCTTATTTTCCGGGGTGACTTGTCACGTACCTTAGCAAGCTCTAGCTCAAACAGTCTAATTAGATTCGTGTATGTCGACACTGTTTTAATATTTTCAGTGATTACTTTCTCAATTTGCTTGGTAGCTATTTCTATTTGCCTTTATGAATAAAAATTTTCCTGTAGTTGCTCATCTTGTCTCCTTCCCACTTTCACTGCTCTTCCAAAACTTAGCTTGATACGTTTGTGATCGCTACCCAGACTTCTGGAGCCACCTTCATCTATGTGCATTCCCCTGAGCTTATCATACATCCTATGTGACATCAGGGGGTAATCTATCGTCGACTGCAGCCTTCCTACTTCCCATGTTATTTGCCCTTCACACTTCTCGGTACTGTTGCAAATGACCAAATCATGTCTTTCTCACATATCCATGATCATTTTGTCTGTTTGGTCTGTATAACCATCTATATCTTCTATGTGCGCATTCATATCTCCTAGTATAATTATCCCGCACTCTCCTCTAAACTCCTCAATGTCCTTTGATATACACTCTACTATTGCCTGGTTTTCCTCTCTGGCCTTTGCTCCCGTCCACAAGTACACCAAACCAAGGAGTGTCATTTTCCCTGCCACTTTCCCTTTTAGACGTAAATGTTCCTTGCACTCCTGCTTGACCCTAACTGTCTGCTTCAGCGAGCGACACCTGAACAGTAGCTCACAAGGGATGGGGGTGAGGAAGGATTGAAATGATAGGAATAAAGGTGTAGAGAGAGAGAACAAGTATGGCAGAGAGCGACAACATATCGAGGGGATAGGAGAGATAGTAACGATGGAAACATGGTCACAGGAATCCGAGGACGGGACACCACTTGCGAGAGCTCTTGTCGGCGTCAGGAGGTGGCATAGAGCAAGTCCAGTCGGCCAGAGCTACCCTGTCGTCGGAGGTCGGCGTCAGGAGATGACGTAGGGTGAGCCCAGTCGGCCAGAGCTACGCTGGGGCACTTCGATTTTCCACTTCTGGCTACCCGCGGGCTGCCAGAGCCAGCCAGAGCGCACTCGTTTTTCTCGGGCTTCTCCCCCCCCCTCCTCCCTGCGGCGCACTTCCGGTTGGCGCTCGTTTCTCTCGGGTTGGGCGGTTCTGGCGACCCGCGGGGAGACGAGGGTTGCCAGACGCTTCCAGGACAATTTAGTCGTGGAAGCTTTCTGGAAGGTTTAGGGCATGTTTCGGGCTAGCAGACGCCGAAAAGGTACGATGCGAGCTCGGTGCCGTCAACAGCGTTTTGCTTGTCGTTGACAAGTCCCTCTGAACGTTCCTCATATATAGGGAAGACTAGTTGCGGCGAGCACGGCGAGACGGCCGGCATGTTAGCCTAAGAAGCGAATAACGCTTCTAAGAAGCAATAAAACCGCTTCGTGGCACAGCTATGATCACATTAGGGCGTCTGCAAGAATTCTCCAAACAGCGTTACAGTGAAAAGAAGCGCTAGTTCAATGAGAGCAAGAAGAACCCACTCAATAGAGTGTAAAAAGTAATTCATGGACGTAGAACGCTGCAGTCGTTTGACCTTGCTTGCGGATCGGGCTGCCATTTTTCTTTCTTCTTCGCTGGTACGACCCCCCCCCCCCCCCACTTCTTTACAGTCCGCGAACTTCGAAGTATAGTTTCGAGCACATACGGATGTCTTGCGGAGGCATCGCAATTTTAACTGAAGTTGAAGTTGAAGTTGAAGTTTATTTCAGGCAAAAGCAAAAAAAAAAGAAAGGTACAATTTGCCTAGGGGACCGGCGAAAAGGCATAAAAGCCTGACGAAGCGCCTGCCCCCTGTAAACCCAAAACCCACCAAAATAACACAGTGCTCAGTGTAAAGTAACGAGTCAATAAGAAATTAAGCATAAATATGTTTCTACATGCAAAACATGTACAGGAAAACATAAATGAGCGAAAATTTGCGCAGGAGATGAAATCTATAAAGCATATGCGTGTCCGACAAATAAAGCAAACTGTAGAGGACATAAACAAACACTAATGTAAGACATGTAAAATACCTGAAGAAACTTTAAACTTGAATACAAGGTTTCAACAATCAAGAGACAGCAACATCAATAAGGAATATGTTTGATCAATAAATGAAACACAGTTTGGATAACATAAGCAAACCTTAATGTGATATATACAAGAAAATACT